ACTCAAAGACCTCATGTGGTCTTCTACAGACTAGGAGACCTCAGAGGGTCTTCTATAGACTGGAAGACCTGAGGGGGTCTTCTGTTGACTAGTCAAACTCAGATCAACTTGTATATTATAGAAGAGCTTAAAGTTTTCTAAACGACTCAGAAATATTCTACGTACGAGATTTCTTCAGGGTGTGATCTATAGATTACAAGAAGAAAATAAGGGTTCTAAAGTCTCGAAAATGTCATTCGAAGAATAGAGTACCTCAAAGCAGACCTGAATTGGTATTCTACAATGTATGAGTCCCCAAGGGCTCTTTTATATATTAGAAACATTGTTCTACAAAACAAATCACCACACTTCTATAATATATGTGACCTCTATAAAATAATATTACCTCAGACGGGGTCTTCTATTGAATTGAATACTTTACGGTGTCATATTCAAATCACTGTGCACAATGACATGGGAACGTTTTGTTTTATTCTTGAATTAAATAAACAAGAAAAAAATACACACTCATCCCAAAAATGTGTGTCAAAGAGTGTCAGACAGTAATAGTTTGACCCATGCCAATACGCCAAGTGATGATGTTGCGGGCCAAACATCTAATCTGCTCATCAATGACCACCAAAATTAGTGGCTGGCGGATGCTTTCTTTGGCGTGTTGTTGTTTTTGTCATTTTGTGGTAAACACCACAACAACAGATTAGAATGAAATTATCTTAACCAGTTTCTATGAATAGGTTTTGTTTTAGCCAATTTCGGTTAAAGTTGTTGTTGGTAGCGTATTCCGTTCATAACCTTTGTGTAGCTTTTAACCCACAGCTAGATGAGCTTTGGTAACAAATCGATTGTGCGTCCAAATGGTAAATTCTTGTGAAGAAGAAAGTTTGTGGTATTTAAAATGTGTTTTTGTTGTTGTAAAATTATGATTTGTTGTTGTTTTGGTGATAGTAATGTTGTTGTTGCTGTTTCACTTTATAATAAATTAACTCATTAAGACCTGAGATATATGTGGAAGATTCTGTTTTTAGTTTCGGGTCAAATCAAAATATTTGCAAATTTTTGTTGCTGTTGTTTTTTGAATGTTAATTTTTAACTTTTGCCTTTTCTTAACATCGCCCTATTCGGCCATCCGAATCCATAAAAGATGGGTCACCAGCCATTTCACCGTTTAGTTTGTTTTTTAAGTTTAAGTGTAAAGATTGTGTTTTTTTTTATAAAAATCCACTCTAGAACCGTCGTTTAGATCGGGTGGATATCAACAAAGAAATGGGCAGGAAATTTTTATTGCTGTTCCTGGCCTTGTGTCTGGCCATAGTGTTTGTGAAATGTAATGGAAGAAAATTTTTATTTATTTATTGAAATTTATTTAAAACAAATATAAAATAAATGGACAAAGTGGAATTAATTAGGGTCACTAATATATATGACAATTAGAGTGTGCTAAAAAAGTGAAATCGATGTTAATATGGAAAAATGTACATGTGACAATAATTATTTTCTAAAGAGCACTCATCTTATATTGAGCTTTTGTGAACTAACCTTATATAAAAATATTTTACCAAGTACTTTTGATAAAAGTGGATCAAAGCCCTCAACTGACCTTCAGAAGATTTATTTATTTTACAATAGAATACTCAAAGGGCCATTCTACTGAATAGAAGACTTCCCGGTATTGGGGTATTCTGTATAATAAAATACCTTAAGGGGTTCATGAAGGTTTTTTTATGAATTTACTTAATCTTAATTATAGTAGGCGAATGCAGAATGTTTTATAGAATACTGGACAACAATAGGTCTTTATTGAGTTGCAGACATAAAGTAAAAAGAAACCAAAATCTTCTAGAGAAAGAAACCCTGAATATTTATTTATAGGGGGCCTTAATAGAATAAAATACTTCAAAAAGACATTTTACAGAATCGAATATAACACAGAAAAAATCTCAAATCGTATTTTACGGAATATAAGACTTTTCTAGAAAAAGCTGACATATAGAGATAATTTGTAGAAGACCTTATGGATCTTCTGTAGGATAGTATATTGGGGTCCTCGAGTGTACTAAAAAAAACACTCCAAAGGCTTCCATAAAATTAGAGATAGAATTTTAAATCTACGAAGGTTCAAGAAAGCCTCAAATGAACTTTTCCAAATTTAAACTTCTAGGGGACTTCTGTAGAACAGAAAACCAGGGCATCGAATAGGAGATCCAAGGGAGGCTATTGTTAAATAGTATACAAAATGAAGCCCTCCGGAAAAAACGCCTGAAGGGATCTTCTAAAAATCAAAACTTTTAAGAGTTGTTTTGTAGAGAAGAAGTATTTAGGGGTATTTTTACAGGATTTTTGATAATACAAAAATGTCCAGGGGTCAATAGTTGTAAACATTATGGTACCTTATGAAGGAAATGATATATAAAGGACTATCCTAAAGAAAGAAAAACTTATAGAGTATTCTTTATAACAAAAAAATCCAAGGATAGAATAGACAATTTTTGGAAGACTTCAGTAGAACAGCAAATCATGGAATTGTAAAGAGTATCTAAAATTAATGGGGGCTTCTAGGAGAAAATTCATGTTATGATAGGACCTTGAACATACCGAAAAATATCTGGTAATTGGTAAACAAGTAAAAAAATGTTAGTCGGTGTTGCCAACAGATATATACTCCCAGCCTATGGTTTGCGGAGGTCTTCGGAATTACATACAGATTTTATTATTAGCTTTAATAAAAAATATGTTTTTATCAAAGAGATTTCGGATTTAATGTTGGTACTAGAAGGAGTGGATCAATGGGTCCCATCTTTGGACTTAAATTAAACTATATAAAGATAATGGGTTGTGCAATGTTTGGTTCATATCGGAATTTTGAGCATTTATGGGGGAGTTACCAGAAGGAGTGGACCAATGGTTCCCATCTTCAAACTTGATATATTCTTGGTAAAGATAATGGGTTGTGCAAAGTTTGGTTCAAATCGGACATTTTGACCATTTGTGGGGTAGGTACCAGAATGAGTGGACCAATGGGTCCCATCTACGGACTTAGACTTCATAATGATAATGGGTTGTGCAAAGTTTGATTCACATCGGACATTCCATTCGCCTGATATTGGATTAACAGATATTGAAAATTTTTACCATTTGTGGGGGAGGTACTAGAAGGAGTGGACCAATGGGTCCCATTTTCATACTTGATCTAGGCTTGGAAAAATATAGTCGGAATAGTCGGTTTGCATGTTATTATAAAATTATTGTTAGCACAAAAGGATGGGTCGATATTCCCCATTTGCGAACTTAAACTAAGTTTGGAAGAAATATTAAGATGAGCAAAGTTTGAATGAAATCGCTTGCTGACAGACATACGGACGGACATGTAACAAAGAAACATGGGGTCTAAAACTAATATTTAGATGAGGCAAATTTTCACCGTATCAAAGTGTATTACGAAAATGTGCTATACAATGAAAACCCAAAATCTAAAATTACAGCCAAATTGTTTGAAAGACATGTCCAAAATCCCCAAAATACCTTATACTGGGAGATACCGTTATATGGGGCCTAATCTGAAACTGGGGTCAATATTAATAGTTTTTGGTACAGATATGTGTTATTCAATGAGAAACCAAAATACCAAATTACAGCCAATTTGGTTGAAAAACGTGTCGAAATGGCCAAAATACCGAATATTAAGGGGGTACCGTTATATGGAGGCTATACCAAAACGTCGACCGATATATCCCATTGTAATACCAAACAAAATCCTAGGAGTACTAGCAAAGTCTGTGCAAATTTCAGAGTTCTATCATAAATATTGCGATCTCTATCCATTTCCACAGACGGGCAGGCAGACAGACATGCGTAAAACGACGCCGAAATTTATTTTCCGGTGAATATTTCGAGGTGTTTGCAACGAAATGACAAATTTAGTTCACCATAAGGCTCTTCTTCAGATAAAACACATCATTGGTCTTTCGAAGAAAATAAGGTTTTAAGAGACCTGCTCAAGAAAGGGATTTTCTGTAGATGACAAGAAGACATCTAGGCATCTTATAAAGAAAGGAGGACGTTAGAATAGAAAAAAACTTCATAGACTCAAGAAAACATCAACTGAATAGAAAAAAACATAGTATAGAATAGAAGACCTCAGGGGACTTCTGTAAAAAAGAATACATTATTTGAACCGGAGAATTTTTCATGCCACGGGACTTCTGAAGAAAAAATGTGCTCGAGGGTCTTCTCGAGGAAGGAAGGCTTTTATGGGTTTTCGGTGATATGAGGTTCTTAAAAAAAGTCCAGGGGTATTTTGTAGAAAATACGACCTCAAGATATCTTTTATGAACAAGGGTTATATAAGGGTTCTTACATTGCAAGTAAATCGTAAAACAAAAGAAACAATTTCCAAGGCCCAAAGAAACCTAACGATAACTTCTTTAGATTAAAAAAATTCTAGAAAAGTTCTGCCCTTAGGCTGTTCTATTCTGCCTAAGGGGACTTCTGTTGAATAGAATACACAGGGAACTTCTGTTGAATAGAATACACAGGGAACATCTGTAGAATAGTTGACCTCAAGGACACTTTTATAGAATACAACATCTTCCTAGGAAAAGGGGGAATCAAGGGGTCAAGAATTCAGGAAAATACCTAAAGGGGACTTCAATACAATAAAACACATCTACTGAAAAAGAACTGCCGTCAAGTGGTCTCTTTAAGATAGGAACATCAAAGGTGTTTTTCCAGGCATTCTCAATGGTATTCAGTATAATAGTAGAGGGGTCTTTCATAGAAGAAAAGACGTTTAAGGGTCACTTATAGAAAATTTGTGAGTTAGGGGTTTGGGGGAAGATCTTTTGTGAGATTTAATTAAATTCGGATGTTCATTTGTCAGTTCGTTGCTATACGAAAATTCATAGATTCAGTTTAAGATTTACAACGACTACGTTATAGTCCTTGAGGTAGATCCTTCCCTTGCAGATTTACTTATAACATATATTTTTTTTCAAAATTTTCAGCTGAATCCTGGACAGAAGTCGATGAAAATGGTGACGAATATGAATTGAAAAAATTCACCATTCAGGGCCGCCAATTAGAGGGTGGCAAGTCTCAATGCGTTGTGACGAGACGTAAACGAGCCACAGTTGCTGTGATACCAGTCGAAGCTAGAGAACAAGAAGATGATGACGACGAAGAAGATGGTGATGATAATGCAAATATGGGTTATGCTGGTGCCTCGGCTGCACAGCCACATGCCGTCCTTTTCTATTCACCACAAAGTGAAGAAGAAAGTGAAGAAAATCAAAATAATTCTCAAGATGACGATGAAGATAATCGTGAATTTGAAAATTTAGACAGTAACGGCAATGCTATGGCCCATGTCGTGGTTAAGGCCGATACGGTTATTTTGGCCACAGATGCTAATGGAGATTCTACCTTGGAGAATGTAGAGAACTCCAATGGCCAGGATGATGACGATGAGGAAGGTGATGATAATGTCGTAGGAGCACAAGCAGCGGAAACTATTGAGTTGGTACATGTACCACAGGTCCCCATTATTGGTCAACTACAAAGTGAGGGTCAATCGTTGGCTGCCATTGCCGCCACTGCCCCTGCTACCATTCTCAATGAAACCGAAACCGATTCTGCCGTTATTGTTGAGTCAAATAAACCCCCTAAGGTAAATCCCAATACTCATGCAGTTTTTGAATTGGTCCCCGTCAAACCAGGCGATGATGAAGAGGATGAGGATGATGAGGAGACTGATGAAGACGAGCGCGATTCATTGAATGCTGCTGCCGATTCCATTCAAGTGGCTCAAATTGGTCACGTGGCAAATGGTGTTCACATTATTAATCTTGCCGAATTGGCGGCTGGTGTTGACGACGAAGATGATGGCGAATTCCAATACAATGAGGAATTGAGTCCCATAACCACCACAGCTATTTGGTCAACCGGTGCTGATGATGATATCTCTCACCTCTTGCCAGTCAAAAAACCCAGCAAGGTAAATAGTAATAAGATAAATAAGAATAAGAAGAACAAAAAGAAGACCAACAAGAATCAGGTGGGCAATAGACGACCAATTCGCCGTAACAAATATAAGAATCAAAATCAGCTCTCCCAAGTCAATGGCAATAAGAGAAGGCCATTGAGGAGACCAAATCGTGGTGAGCTGAGTATAAGGGGAAACAAGAAGGATACGAAAAAGAAAACCAGCGTGAAGAGAACTGGAACCAAGAAAACTACAAAGACAAAGAAAAAGAAGGCCTCAAACAAGAGGAAGACTTCTCTCAGGAAGAAAAATAAGAAGAAGACAACCAACAAAAAGAAGACCAGCTCCAAAAAGAAGAACAAAAGCAAAAACAAAAAGAAGAACAAGAATAAGAAATCCAAGAGCAAAAACAAGAAGAAGAATAAGAACAAGAAATCCAAAAATAAGAAAACTGGTGTGAAGGGCTCCAACAAGAACAAGAAGACTAAAAAGACCCCCGTTGTCCATTCGCCCACATCACCCACCTCTTATACTACACCCACTAGTGCCACAACACCCACACAATTGTCGATGAACGGTGACAAACAGAAGAAGAACAAGAAAAAGAATAACAATCGTAGAAACAGACGGAAAAATAAACGCAATTCTCAACGACAATTTAACAACAACGGCGACAAAATAATGGGTGATGCCGATGAGGACATCTACAGTCAGACAGTAACCGAAACCGAAGAACCCGAGAGCGGTAATGTTAACTGCATTTATATACGCAAAGATCCACCAACAACAACGACGACAACACCACGTCCCTTCTGGAATTTGTTAGGACGCAGTGCTGGCAATGATGTGCCCGTTGCGTCGGGACGTTATGGCTTGCGTAAGCGTGTCAACTTACGTCCTCTAGCTTAAGCTTAGTATTATTGAAATGTATTAGACGAAAAAAGAAATCGACGAAAACAAAAATATAAATGTATAAGAATTATTTATAAAAAAAAATTAGCAGTATTTAATTTCAGAGGGTATATTAGTCCTGATTTACTTTATGCAGTCCTATAGTACGTTTATATTTCACTGGATTCTGGCTTAACAACAATTTTTAAATTGTCAATACCATTGCATATATGTCGAATAAATCCTCATAAAGTAGGTTAAACCGGGGGAAAAGTAGGGGAGAGGGGGCACCTTTCAACGTGGGTCACCTTTCATGAACAGTTTTGATTTTCTTATAATTCTACCTATACAACCCATTTTAGAATTTGTCTCCATATTACTGCGGATCATCGTTTTGAAGACCTTGTTTCTACTTTTTATATTTTATTCAAATAACAGTAACTTTTGCAGACTACTTTAAACACGACCGGTTGGTGTTCTCCATATACTCCAACAGTTCGGTAAGGTAAAGAAGGCCCTGAATAGGCCAAGAGGCTCTATAACTTTTCGGTTGCACGGCCTGTAATCTACATCTAATGAAATGTATGTTGATTTTGTCGATAGAAGCCTTAAAGACCTTTTTAGACGATAGAAGTCTTTAAATTCCTTTTTTGAACGATAGAAGCCTTAAAGGCCGATTTCATCGAAACTTGTGACAGGTTAGGTTATACTAATTTCAGTATGTTTTGAGCATATCGGCCAAATTTTGAGTTCATTTACTTAAAATCGGGATAAAATATATGGGAGCTATATCTACAGTAACTTCAATACCTTGTGCAAAATTTTGTGCCAATCGGACCCACTTGGGGAGTTTGGAGCAGCATTTATATCTAACTTATAGGTTATACTAACTACAGTACGTTGTACAAAACTTTTGTGTAAAATCGGATGAAAATATATATGTAGAAGCTATATCAAAATCTGAACGGATTTCAACGATACTTGCCAGATATTAACTTATATTAACTACAGTTCTTTGTACAAAATTGTATGGCAATCGGACAAACTTTGGGTCTTTAGTGCCCAATTTGCATAAAATGTGCGCAATATCTAAATGGGAACCGATTTCAACGAAACTTAGCACACATCATTCTTGACCTAATTTAGTGCGCTGTGCCAAATTAAGTGCAAACCAAAAGATATATAGGGGCATTGGTACACTATTTACATTACATCGGAGGAAATTATATATGGGATCTATATCTAAATCTGAACCGATTTTCATTAGATCGGAGGAAAATATATATGGGAGATATATCTAAATCTAAACTGATTTCAATTTGGACCTATGCCAAATTTCATTTAATTCGGATCATAAATGCGTCCTGGAAGGACATGCATAAATCGACTTAGGAAGTGATTCTATGCATATTCTCTAAAGGAACCATGTTTCTATCTCGTTTCCTTTTGCTTGTTACAAACATATGCACAAAGACATAATACCCTGTACCACAGTGTGGTGAAGGGTATAAATACCGGTAAGAAAAGTAGTAAAGTCAGACGGGGCCGACTATATGATACCCTCTACCACTTTGGCTATATCCTAACAGGCCTCGAATTGCTGAAGGCTTATTGACATTAAATTGGAATAAATGTTATATGTGATCTGTATCTAATGTGAACCGTAGGGTTACTACAATCAATAACCGGGTACATTTGTATCTGTTTATACCCTCCACCATAGTATGGAGGGTATATTAAGTTTTAACTCATCGAAATAATCATTTCCGATCCTATAAAGCATATATATTCTAGATCAGCGTAAAATTCCTTGATTAAGTATCTCCGTCTGCTTTTTGTGATCACTCTAGCTATATCGGTCTGCGTTTAGGCATAGCTCCTATATAAGGGTACCCCGCAATTTTGGTCTTGGGTTTTTGAGTGAGTTATTCCAGAGAATTCGTTGAAATGTGGTACAATGGGTTCTTATTGGATACTTTTTCTGGCAGCTATATGGAAGCTATATCTAAATCTGAACCGATTTCAATAAATCTTGACACAAATTATGCCATCCTAACTTCAGTACGTTGTGCAAATGTTCGTGCCAATCGGCCTAAAATTGGCTCGTTGGTGCATCAATTGCTAAAAATCGGACGAATATATATAGAGCTATATCTAAATCTCAACCGATTTTCATCAATTTCAATAGGGTTCATCGTTGGGGCAAATAAATGATTTGTGCCAAATTTCATCTCATTAGGATAATAAGTGTGACCTGCACTTTGTTTACAATTTGATATGAACATACAGACGGACCTGCATAAGTGACCACATGCCTATATAGAGACCAAAGACCAATTGGTCTGTATAGAGACCGCAGGCCTTTATAATAACAGACCGATTGGAAGTGTATAAATACTAAAGGTATATATAGTTCTATATATAGACCAATTGGTCTTTATACATACCTGTGGTTTATATACAGGCCTGTGGTTACTCTATAGCAGGGTTAGCCAATAATACATATGCAAACTGCTATGATTGTGTTGGACACACGCATATATCCGTTGGGAGAGTAATTTTCGTTCTCTCGGTACAGATCGCATATGTTAAAGCATTGCAAAGCATACAACATGTTCGATGTCGAGAATAATGTTGAGTTCGAACACAGAACTGTGATTGTATTGGTACTCTCTCAAAGCGCCCGCGGGCGCCTGTTTGGTGAACATTGCTCTATAGAACTGTGGTAGAGAAAATTGGGTATTATAAATAACAGTTGGTCATTATAAAGAAATGTTCACCAAATAGGCGCCCGCGGGCGCTTTGAGAGAGTACCAATACAATCACAGTTCTGTGTTCGAACTCAACATTATTCTCGACATCGAACATGTTGTATGCTTTGCAATGCTTTAACATATGCGATCTGTTTTATACAGAACCGAAGTACTATTATGGTCTCGTTAGACGACGTTTTAGAATAAATAAAGACTTGGGAGATTTTGAACAACATAATTTATTCGTATTTATAATAAGAGCGCCATCTATTGTAAACTAAATACAAAAAGCATCAACTAATTAGAATTATGAGATGAAAACATAATTTCACAACATAGTGCGTTAATGCAACACGAGATGGCGCCCAAACAGGAATTCACAAAAGTTCCAAATGAGGAAATGCCAGCTGCATGTATTTTAAAAACTACCTACCACCACCTCAAAGAGGACGAAAATCATTAAAGAAAACATACAGATCCTTAAAGTCGTCAAATGGGATCGACTTAATATTTGACCACATTTCAACCCCCTCACAAACCTAATTCCTCCACCCATACTTGTGGTTAAGGAATATAGCAAGTTGTAATGTTCGGTGGGATAATTAAAATTAATATCTACCATATTTCCTTCTTTCACTTCGTTTCCAAAGAGTAGATTGGGCACGTGTTCAAATTACGTTTCGAGCTAATAATTAAGAATTGCCATACTTCTAACCACCTTCGCTACACAAAAAGATCCTTTTTTTAAGAAAACATAAGTTACCTTATGACATTTCTTGCAAGAATTTTCCTACTTATTTCGTGCATTGACTTCATGCAAGGTTGACAACCCAAAGGTACACCTTCTTCCTTTTGCGGTCACCGCCGAAAGAAAGAAACACATCTTTGACAACAATATTTTTAGGGGAGGGTGTAGTGAAGTGGCTTGTGTGCAGATTATGTCCTGTTTCTTCCCTTTTTTCTTCATGACGGTGAACGCAATGCAATTTCATTACATTAACGATCTATAAATTTTTCCTAAAAAAACAGAATAACAACTGGAAGTGCAATTCACTGCCTTCGATCGTGACATCTACAATCCATCAAACTTCATTAGTTTACAATTCTGCAGATGCAACTGCAATTAGCTCGTGCTAAAATAAAAAAAAACACATTACGAGACTTGACCCTATTTGGGTTAGGGGCCAAGTGGACAACAATAACAGAAAAGAAACAGCAACAACATCGATCGCCTGTCTTAAGAAGGAGGGTACTACCCGACTTATGTCTGACAATTGACGAAATGCATGAGCGATTCTTATGATTTTTTCTTTGAGCGAAAGACAATTGCAATGAAGATGGTGGTCAAAGGTAAGGGACAACTGACAGCAGATGTACACGGTGGCACTTCAACATTCTTCAATTATAATTACAACTTAAAAAGTAAAAATATTACATACATATTACAAATATTACACTACACCCCACCATTTTAAGGTCACACATTTGCGGATACCTAATGGAAGCCGTATATAATATATGTAAAGGGTCTATATAGGTCATATAATAGTTTTTAGGCAGGAGATTATTTGGTGGTCTTCGTTACTCAGTTAACAATTTCACTGCTATTACAGTTTGCAGATCTTGTATTAATAGATACTCATTTGAAAGACGTCTATCTTCAAAATTCTGTTAAAAGAATTGGTCTTACGGAGAAAACTTCTCATATGAAAAACATTCCATATATATCATATCATTTTCTTTAGGGGAGAAAGCGATTAATACCTTAGGGCTAATGAGAGAAGATACTCTTTGATACAATTAACCAGTAAGGAAAGTAGTAAAGTCGAACTGGGCCGACTATATGATACCCTTCACCACTATGGTATATTGTACATATGTCTCCTAACGTCGTCTTTTCGAAAGAATAATGACATGAAATTGAACGAACTTGAATGGGCACCACTTTTTATATCGGTTTTTGTGGGTTTAAACTGGAAATCTTTCTACGAAAAAGTGTCTTTATTGGTCCAAGTTTCACTAATGCCCTCATATAACGGTACCTTCCATTCATCCAAACTTTGCGCACCAAAGTAGCTGTTATTTTCTATTTTGGATTATTTTTAGGTAGAAAATCTCTCGGCCAAAAATTGGCAATATTGGCCAAGATTCAGGCGATTTCTAACACCCAAATGTCAATTTTCTAACCTGAGTGTCTGCAGTTAGGTATTTTGTTTTCTCCTGTAGGTCATTTACAATGACAGATTGTAATTGTTGATCACGCTCCGACGTAATTCTGAGTTCATGAGCAAACGC